TCCCTTTGCTATTAGTGAATAAAGGCTTGCCTGCATGGGAAAACTGACCAGCTATAACTATTCCGGTGTAACTCCCTTAAGTGGATACTCTATTTAGAATAAAATGACTTGAATTCCAGAATAGAATTTCCAGAACAAAGCCCTGGCTGGGATTATTTAGTTGGGGATTGGTCCTGCTTTGAGCAAGGGTTTGGACTTGATGACCTCCTGAGGTCCCTTCCAACCCCGATATTCTATGATTCTATGAATAGAATGTCCACACCAGTGAGTTATATTGGCAAAGCTAGAGCAAAATAATTATTTTGTGATAATTAGACTGGCCAATTCTCCCTCACAGGCCAACTCTGCCTTCTTCAGGAAACCTGCATTTGTAATATTAGTCTATTGCTATGGAAATTCTGATGAACTTCCACATACAACATGAATGGCTCACCTGCAGGATCTAACAGAAAAAGATGACCAGGTAGGGAGAAGCTACACTTGGTCTGAACACAAAGCTTTAACTAACTACTGGGATTGGCCAAAAAAAAGTAGAAAAATAAATACCCAAAAAAACCCCACAAAACCCAACAGTGCTGCTTTAGATCTGGTATAGCAGAAAATGCTTCCAGTTTGAAGTGCCTACTTTAATCTGATGGAAGAATCAGACTGAATGTTCAGCAAGTCAAACATAAATGGGAAAGGTGGTGTTTTCAGAATAGACACATTAATGCAAACAAGAAGGAGAATACAGTAGTTTTACACTGTGTCTTGCACTTTACAATCAGGAATTGCTTCTTACATTTTAAGTAGCCTTCTGAAAAATGCAGGGGTAACAATCACCAAAGCAAAGATGCTTTTAGGAGGTTAGTCTTATATTGTCCCACATCACCACCATCCCTAAGCACACATGTTACATAAACATGGCATGGCAAAGAAGCAATTTACATCCAGAAATCACTGTTGCAGCCTTTTTTGCCCTTCTTAATGGTGTAAGCTTGTGTGTCAATTTCAGGCAGGATTATTACAGTTAACAAAGGCCATAAAACATCAAGCTCTTCAACCTTGCATGTGCAGAACTCAAAATAAGTTAATCCATACCAGCACTAAGAAAAGGAGTACTTGTGGCACCTTAGAGACTAACCAATTTATCTGACCATAAGCTTTCGTGAGCTTATGCTCAAATAAATGCATCGGATGAAGTGAGCTGTAGCTCACGAAAGCTTATGCTCAAATAAATTGGGTAGTCTCTAAGGTGCCACAAGTCCTCCTTTTCTTTTTGCGAATACAGACTAACACGGCTGCTACTCTGAAACCTGTACCAGCACTGACATTTGAACAAGCTTCTAGGAAGTTTCATAGGAAACAAATCCAAACTCAGGGCCCAATTCTGTGGACACTTACTAGGGGATGTTGTGCTCACTACCTTGGTCAGTCCCACTGACTTCCGTGAGCCAGTTCAGGGTAAAGGGCACTACAGCCAGTAGTAAAAGTCTGCAAGCATCAGACTCTAAAGCAAGGCATAGTCTCATATTCAGTAGGTGTTGCAAAAATTATGGCTCAGATCACATGAGGTCTTTTCTGATACAAGCTGCCCTTCTAGCCCAGACTTTACAAGGAAATTCACTAAATAAAGCCAACTGATTCTTCAATGAACTACATATTATTCTATATAGTTTAAAATATTAAAAGAGTTAAGTCTACCACAAAGCAGAATGAGCACTCTGAATACTGGCCAATATAAAAAAAATATATATAAAGAGCTTAAAAAAAAAAAAAAAAACCAACCAAGTATCTTCTATATAAGGTAAATCATGAAAACAGAGTTGGAAAGGGAAACAGAGTCCAGTGGTTAGAAGGTATATTGCAAAAACAGTTTCACCCTGATTGCATTCATTTGCATAACAATAATTTAGAAAAGGTAATTGGTAGTGGTATGGTTGAGAAACACAATTTAAGCTATATATATTTTACAGCGATAGGTATGATTTACTACATATTCAACCACCTACTCAGCAGAGTGGGAATATAAGAAAAATGACCAAATACAAGGACAAAGAGAAACATTATTCCAAAAATCCATTTCTTTTTACTGCTTTTTCACAATGAACTGTTGATAATGGACTAAAATATAATTCTAAATACTTTTACTAGTATTTAATTGTGATAATTAAATCACCTTACTGAGGTGAACATTTTGTGAACACCTGCAGAAAATTAGCACCTCTGACATTTTTTAAATGAGAAAAAGTTGATAACCTTTTTTAAAATCAGTTTCTTTCCCACCCTGCCTGCATTGCAACAAAGCCATCAATTAAAGCCACTAACCTGGCCTTCTAAGTTATATCTGTCAGTCTAAATATTGTTCAGAGAACATAATGTCCAAAAGCCACCGAAAACATCCAAACCTTCTAGCTTGTGTAATGAATCTAAACTACTTGAATAACAAGATGAGAGTTCAAGAGTGCATGTAATACAATTGAGTTCTATGCTGGCATCAAATAGTATCCAAATGACCAACTACTGGGAAAAAATGTCTGCTTACATTGCAGTCAATATAGTCTTTGGAGCAGTCAATTATACTTCATAGTGTATAGAGGTTCACTACCACTTGAATCCTAATGCTTCTGGTAGTCAAAAGTTACCTCTGGTAAAAACACAAGAGAGGAAACCTGAGCTTAAAGAGACATTACCAGATAAAATAATTTTTTTTTTAGTAATGTCTTACTTCTGTTGTAATATGTATTATACTTACATTATTTGTGTTTGTTTACTTAAAGCATTTCAGTCAGGCTGGACAACCTTCTGCTGCAAACAATGCAAGAAACTGCTTACCCCCAAACCAAAAACTTCTCACTTTTGTTTTTGTAAATGCAAGTGTCATGAGAACACTTCTAAGACATTTTGCAAATACTCTGTTGCCTAAACTATTTGACAATGTCTCTTTACATACAACAGAACTATTAATAAACTGAATGTAGCAGCGATTTTTTTTTACGATTGCTTTTTAACCATCAAATATTTATCATAGCCAAAAATAAAATATTTTAACATCTAAAATCTGAAATATTGAAACCAAAAGTTCTGTTTAATGCCAAATACTTCAGATCCGTTAGATCATGATTCATATCATCATAGCTACTGTACATCACAATTTCAGCCTTGCAGCCACTATTTATTAGGGTCTCAATTATGACTGAAAGTCCCAATAAATAAAACTGAAAAATTTCAGCTTTGGTCCCTCCTTACATTCAGACTATGCCTGCCCTAGAATAACTGGAACCCATCATTCTCCAGCAGTGTTAACAATGACCGAGTGATAATGCAGACAGGGTGCAGATGTTTTTACTACCACGTTGTCTAATCCTACTTGGAACAGGCTTAAATGCCATGGTACTCTTGCCTCCTCTTTCTACACTGCAGCTTCTTTCATTGCTTCCACTAGTGGAGAAGCATCTGGGTAAATTCTGGGTTATAGTTTTCCGAGTGTATACAAGACTCGGTATATCAAAAGGATATTACCATTTTCTTAAATGACTCCAGTACTGTGGGAAGCACTCCGAAAGCCCTGTACAGGTTCACACTGCCTTAAATCTGTTCTTTAAAAACCAGTTTGAGGTTAAAGAATGACATATTTACTAGGGTTGTCAAGCGATTAAAAAAATTAGTTGTGGTTAATCGCACAGTTTAACAGTAATAGAATACCATTTATTTAAATATTTTTCGCTGTTTTCTACATTTTCAAATATATTGATTTCAATTACAACACAGAATACAAAGTGTACTCTCTTCATTTTATATTTATTTTTATTACAAATATTTGCACTGTAAAAAACAAAAGAAATAGTATTTTTCAATTCACCTAATACAAGTACTGGAGTGCAATCTCTTGATCATGAAAGTTGAACTTACAAATGCAGAATTACGTACAAAAATAATGGCATTCAAAAATAAAACAACGTAAAACGAGCCTACAAGTCCACTCAGTCCTACTTCAGCCAATTGCTCAGACAAACAAGTTTGATTACAATTTGCAGGAGATAATGCTGCCTGCTTCTTGTTTACAATGTCACCTGAAAGTGAGAACAGGCGTTCACATGCCACTGTAAGGTATTTACGTGCCAAATGCACTAAAGATTCATATGTCCTTTCATGCTTTAACCACCATTCCAGAGGACAAGCGTCCATGCTGATGACGGGTTCTGCTCGATAATGATCCAAAGCAGAGCAGACCAACGCAAGTTCATTTTCAGCATCTGAGTCAAATGCCACCAGCAGAAGGTGGATTTTCTTTTTTGGTGGTTCAGGTTCTGTAGTTTCTGCATCAGAGTGTTGCTCTTTTAAGACTTCCGAAAGCATGCTCCATACCTCATCCCTCTCAGATTCTGGATGGCACTTCAGATTCTTAAACCTTGGACTCTAGTGCTGTAGCTATTTTTAGAAATCTCAGTTGGTACCTTCTTTGTGTTTTGTCAAATCTGCTGTGAAAAAGTGTTCTTAAAAAAACATGTACTGGGTCATCACCCAAGACTGCTATAACATGAAATATATGGCAGAACACGGGGAAAACAGAGCAAGATACATACAGTTCTCCCCCAAGGAGTTCAGTCACAAATTTAATTGATGTATTATTTGTTTAACGAGCATTATTAGCATGCAAGCACGTCCTCTGGAATGGTAGCCGAAGCATGAAGGGGCAAACAAATGTTTAGCATATCTGGCATGTAAATACCTTGCAACGCCCACTACAAAAGTGTCATGCGAATGTCTGTTCTCACTTTTGGGTGACAATGCAAATAAGAAGCAGGCAGCAATATCTCCCACAAATGTAAACAAATTTGTTTGTCTTAGCGATTGGCTGAACAAGAAGTAGGACTGAGTGGACTTGTAGGCTCTAAAGTTTTACTTTTTTTGTTTTTGAGTGCAGTTTTGTAACCAAAAAAAATCTGCATTTGTAAGTTACACTTTCATAACAAAGAGATTGCACTACAGTACTTGTATGAGGTGAAATGAAAAATACTATTGCTTTTGTTCATTTTTACAGTGCAAATATTTGTAATCAACAATAATATAAAGTGAGCACTGTATATTTTGTATTCTGTGGTGTTATAGAAATCAATATATTTGAAAATGCATAAAAAACATCCAAAAATATTTCATAAATTACAATTGGTATTCTTTTGTTTAACAGTGCGATTAATCGAGATTAATTTTTTTTAGTTAATCGCATGAGTTAACTGTGATTAATCGACAGCCCTAATATTTACCCTACACTCAAGGAGTCCTGTCCCATTTTAGCTTAAAATTCATTCTACTGCAGGTTTGAATATATGACAAAAGTTTTAATGGTGGGAAAATAATCCAATATTCCAACAGTGGGTAGGGGGGAGGATAAAGAAGTCTATTTAAAAATCTTGGCAGTTTTGCTTGATTAAAATTTTCTATAAAAATGTACCAAGCAGTAAACTTTTAAAGAAATCAGATGATACATATAAAAATAGTTTTCAGTGGCTCTGGAGGAAAAAAATAGCAAAAATAAAAGTAAAGAAAGGAAAAAATAGCAAATAATAATGTTTTTTTCACATCACTGAACATCCTCTAGACGTTGTCCTGGGATCCCCCTAGAACAAAGAAATTAGTTAGTGCACAGTAGAACGATAGCAGGCCACAAGCACCTCATGTCCTGGCTTGACTAGTACAAAAGATAACTCAAGTTAGCTAACATGACTTGAAACACCATTTGGCACCTAGTTGGTCATGTTGTAACCTAGGCTCAGGTATCATACTGGTTTAAAAAGCATCTTTCTCCTAATCCAGATAGACCCCCAGTGGGGGCTATCACTAAACATGCTGGGAGTATGGCAAGAAGCAGTGCTGGCAAAGTTCCCTGCTATTAACCCACACTGGCAGAGAGGAGGGAAGAAGTGTGATATTGAGCCATCTTTAGAACTGTATTATCCTTCCTCTAAATGCAGTCTAATAATGCACAAACACACACCAATGAAGCTCGACCAGATATCTGGCACAGAGCTGTATCCTGGCACCATGCTTCTACGGATACAAAACACACAACACTGTACATTTGTTTTCAGATTCTTCCACTCTCTGAATTCAATCTCATTGAAACCAAGAAGTGTCCAGAAGTTGATTTTAAAATTGCATTGGCCCAGCCTGCTGAGTTCATTGTGACAGAGGCTACTAATGGCCACTGATCAAATCTGAATATATGGCAACATTTTACAGTAGTTTGAAAGTGCCCTCTAGTATAACATGCACAAAATTTTTCTCTTCTGTCAGCCCCATTAGCTGCTGGCCATTCATTCTCCCATGCTCATTCTAAAGCATTGGAATTTTAAGGTGATATTAACAAGATCAGCCAGGTTTATGTAATGCGTAACGTTTGTATCCTGCAGGAAAACACCCCAGCAAAGCCCAGCTGCCATAGTGGGAACATGATTGTCCATTTCCCTGTAATTAACTGCCATATTTCTCAGAATATCTTCCATCTCTTTAGAGCAAGGATGCTACAGACATTAGTGCTATCCCTGCTAGTAGGGAAGGCAGCACATGCTGGTGGGAATCACTGATCACACAATTTCCCAGCTCTTATTTCATCCAGCTGCCGAAGAGCAGCAATAGGAATCTACAGGGCAATAAAGATGTTTCTTTGTTCTATGGAGTTTACGCTATCACCAACCCTCACGGCCAGGGTGGATTTGACTAGGTTTTAGTCAGGAGGAGGGGATGGAAGAGGATAAAGTATGGGCCAGATCAGACAAGAAACATTCACATAAAGAAGGTGACACTTCAGAAAAGGGCAGACAAATAAGCAGTGACAAGTTTTTAAAGTGCTTGTACACAAATACTAGAAGTCTAAATAATAAGATGGGTGAACTAGAGTGCCTCATGTTAAGGGAGGATATTGATATAATAGACATCACAGAAACCTGGTGGAGTGAGGACAATCAATGCGACACTATATATATCGGAAGGATAGAACAGAAAGGAGCATAAAACACAGCCAAATTAAATGTAAAAATTTAATAAGAAAAGCCAAAGAGGAGTTTGAAGAACAGCTAGCCAAAAACTCAAAAGGTAATAACAAAATGTTTTTTAAGTACATCAGAAGCAGGAAGCCTGCTAAACAACCAGTGGGGCCCCTCGACGATCGAGATACAAAAGGAGCACTTAAAGACGGATAAAGTCATTGTGGAGATCTAAATGAATTCTTTGCTTCAGTCTTCACAGCTGAGGATGTTAGGGAGATTCCCAAACCTGAGCCGTCCTTTGTAGGTGACAAATCTGAGGAATTGTCACAAGAGGAGGTTTCGGAATTAATTGAGAAACTTAACGGTAACATGTCACCGGGACCAGATGGCATTTACCCAAGAGCTCAAATGTGAAATTATGGAACTATTAACTATGGTTTGTAACCTGTCCTTTAAATCAGCTTCTATAGCAATGACTGGAAGATAGCTAATGTAACGCCAATATTTAAGAAGGGCTCTAGAGGTGATCCTGACAATTACAGTCTAATGTCAGTACTGGGCAAATTAGTTGAAACAATAGTAAAGAATAAAATTGTCAGACACATAGAAGAGCATAAATTGTTGCGCAAAAGTCAACATGGCTTCTGTAAAGGGAGATCATGTCTTACTAATCTATTAGAGTTCTTTGAGGGGGTCAACAAACATGTGGACAAGGGGGATCCACTGGACATAGTGTACTTAGATTTCCAGAAAGCCTTTGACAAGGTCCCTCACCGATGGCTCTTACGTAAATTAAGTTGTCAAGGGATAAGAGGGAAGATCCTTTCATGGATTGAGAACTGGTTAAAAGACAGGGATCAAAGGGTCAGTCCTAGGACCAATCCTATTCAACTTATTCATAAGTGATCTGGAGAAAGGGGTAAACAGTGAGGTGGCAAAGTTTGCAGACGATATTAAACTGCTCAAGATAGTTGAGACCAAAGCAGACTGTGAAGAACTTCAAAAAGATCTCACAAAATTAAGTGATTGGGCAACAAAATGGCAAATGAAATTTAATGTGGATAAATGTAAAGTAATGCACATTGGAAAAAATAACCCCAACTATATATATACACAATATGATGCGGGCTAATTTAGCTACAACTAATCAGGAGATAGATCTTGGCATCATTGTGGATAGTTCTCTGAAGACGTCCATGCAGTGTGCAGCGGCAGTCAAAAAAACGAACGGGATGTTAAGAATCATTAAAAAAAAGGATAGAGAATAAGACTGAGAAGATCTTATTGCCTTATATAAATCCATGGTACACCCACATCTTGAATACTACATACAGATGTGGTCCCCTCATTTCAAAAAAGATATACTGGCATTAGAAAAGGTTCAGAAAAGGGCAACTAAAATGATTAGGGGTTTGGAATGGGTCCCATATGAGGGGAGATTAAAGAGGCTAGGACTTTTCAGCTTGGAAAAGAGGAAACTAAGGGAGGATATGATAGAGGTATATAAAATCACGAGTGGTATGGAGAAAGTGAATAAGGAAAAGTTATTTACTTGTTTCCATAATATAAGAACTAGGGGCCACCAAATGAAATTAATGGGTAGCAGGTTTAAAACAAATAAAAAAGTTCTTCACTCAGCGCACAGTCAACCTGTGGAACTCCTTGCCTGAGGAGGTTGTGAAGGCTAGGACTATAACAGGGTTTAAAAGAGAACTGGATAAATTCATGGAGGTTAAGTCCATTAATGGCTATTAGCCAGGATGGGTAAGGAATGGTGTCCCTAGCCTCTGTCTGTCAGAGGGTGGAGATGGACGGCAGGAGAGAGATCACTAGATCATTGCCTGTTAGGTTCACTACCTCTGGGGCACCTGGCATTGGCCACTGTCAGTAGACAGGATACTGGGCTGGATGGACCTTTGGTCTGACCCAGTATAGCCATTCTTATGTTCTTATGATTTAAGTCAAATTGATATAAAGGTTACCTCTGGAGACACAAATCCACAGTTTCAGAACTGCAAAACTAAGCATCTCTGATGGTATCTTCTAGACTGAGCACTGAGTCCCATTGGGTAGATAGAAAAGTCTGTGGAACCTCGTAAGATTGGGTCCCTAATCCATGAACTATTGGAACTCATTTACAAAACTTTTCTTAAACATTACATGAATATATTGTCTCATACTATAGAATTAGAATTTATAATCCCAATTCTGTAATGAAATATCTTTGAGCTATAATGTATCTTAATTAAAACCATCTTTAGATTGGTTTTTTACTCAAAAAGCATTTTATCAAAAATATCTGATTTAAATAAAAAAATCCATTTTTTTTTAAAATCATTGATTTTTATCACTCTGCTCACAGTGTCTCTCAGAAACACTGCTGTTGCAAATCCATTAGCACCAGGATTATGTCCCAAAGTCTATGGCACCCTGACCTGCCAGCAGTCACTGCCTACAGTGCATCTCGTGGGGCCCAACAGGATACATCAGTTCCTGAAGTTAAGAGCTCAGGAGCAGGGATTGCAGAATGCTCTCTTGGGCACATCGTTTACAGGAACCTATTCCAAAAGCTGGGATCAGAAGGGTCACAGCTCGCAAACGCTGTTGGAAGACGCACCATTCCATGCTTGAATCTAACCCAATTCACCAGGCACAAGTGAGGAGAAGTGGGAGAATAGCCTGAGTTTAAACAAATGGTTCACATCATATTACCTGCTGGTGAAAGAGATCCTCTTCTCCAAACTCTGCTTCATCATCCTCCTCGTTCTCCCGCACCACAACTGATTTTGTGATGCTTCTTACTGCAACTTCCTAGACAAGGGGACAGACACGGGTGTTTGCTTTAATCTTTAACACTTCAATCTCTCTGGTCACACAATCACAGACATGAAGGTCGCTATCTTAAAACAAAAAAACTTCAAATTCAGACTCCAGCGAGAAACTGCTGAATTGGAATTCATTTGCAAATTGGATACTATTAATTTAGGCTTAAATAGAGACTGGGAGTGGCTAAGTCATTATGCAAGGTAGCCTGTTTCCTCTTGTTTTTTCCTCCCCCCCCCCCCCCAGATGTTCTGGTTTAACTTGGATTTAAACTTGGAGAGTGGTCAGTTTAGATGAGCTATTACCAGCAGGAGAGTGAGTTTGTCTGTGTATGGGGGTGGGGGGGATGTGAGAAAACCTGGATCTATGCAGGAAATAGCCCGACTTGATTATGTAAAGAGTTGTCACTTTGGATGGGCTATCACCAGCAGGAGAGTGAATTTGTGTGGGGGGGGTGGAGGGTGAGAAAACCTGGATTTGTGCTGGAAATGGCCCACCTGTTGATCACTTTAGATAAGCTATTACCAGCAGGACAGTGGGGTGGGAGGAGGTATTGTTTCATATTCTCTGTGTGTATATAAAGTCTGCTGCAGTTTCCACGGTATACATCTGATGAAGTGAGCTGTAGCTCACGAAAGCTCATGCTCAAATAAATTGGTTAGTCTCTAAGGTGCCACAAGTACTCCTTTTCTTTTTGCTGTGCCATTAACTCTTGCCCTGTCACCCAAACTTTGGTGAATTCAAAGCAGTTGGCCGCATATTTGAACCATCACCCTGGTTTGGGGTTTTTATGAAACCAAATCCTAGCCAATAAAGTTCTGCAAACTACAGGCCCTCCCTTATTTCGGCTCATCTCTAACTGTAGTGATGTAATTTTTGTTTTCAATCATCCTTATCTTCAGCTATTTTCTCTTATTCCAAGAAGTTTGAGAGGGAGCAGGTAAGATGCCTTTCTACCTCTCATGTGGGGTTTATTCTTTTTAAACAACCTACTAATGGGCTGGGAACTGTGTCATAAAAGACTGCGGAATGTGCTAACATCTGATTTATTTCTCTGAACTATTACATAGCTAAACTGAACATTGAGAAACCCCTATCTAATTTCCACTCATATTCTATGTCAGTTGCATGTATCAATTATTTGGAATTATTGTCTTCACTGAACTACTACCAGGATTATTTTAAAACTCAGGAAGTTTCCACCCTTCCTAATTTATTGTAGCAAAGATTAGGAATAAGAAGCTGTTGGTCCTCTCAGCAGTTGCACATTGGAATTGTATGTTGGGGGTACACCTGAATATCTGGGGAAATCTTCCTAGATACAGACATGTCCAAGTGGAGGGACTGACAAATTTCAGGTTGTGAAGAGAGGTTATTTTATTTTTGAGGATCCTTCAGCTACTAACTGAATAAATGTGTCCCATTTGAATACTGAGCCAGTTCCCTTCCCTGTGTATATCAGTGACCTCTTTTCCTACCTCTGTGTCTTGTGCTGCTGTTCCTGCAGTACCTTCACAGAACTGTCAGCAAGAAAGGCATGAAAACTGATACAATGCTGGTCAGTTTTATTTTGCTGTGGCTACTGGACAGCTGAAGCAATGCATGTTTACCAATAGCAGCCAAAGCATGATCCTCCCTTGCAAGATTCTTCTGCAGGGACAGTTTTCAAAAACAGTTGTGGGATGATGCATGACAATGAAGAATACTCAGGAACCTGTGCCCACTGGAAACTCCTGAAATGGTTGCAGCACTGAAGAAATCTCTATTTTTTTGCATTATTATTATTTACATGCTATGATTTACATGCTATTTATTATTATTTACATGCTAAGTATCATCAGTTGAAATAATGAGCAGTGCACATTTGCTTTCTCTACTGGAAATATATACTCAAATCCTCTCTCTCCAGAACAGTTCACTAAAAAGATCAACTAAAGTGATCAGTATGTGGAACGGCATGTTTCCTAAAACTACAGATGAGCTCATAGATGTTTATCCTTTAAACAAAAAGAAAAGGAGTATTTGTGGCACCTTAGAGACTAACAAATTTATTTGTTTCATGTTCTCTGTGTATATAGACAGGTCTCAGAGTAGCAGCCGTGTTAGTCTGTATTCGCTAAAAAAAAAAAAAGAAAAGAAAAGGAGTACTTGTGGCACGTTAGAGACTAACAAATTTATTTGAGCATAAGCTTTCGTGAGCTACAGCCGAAGTGAGCGGTAGCTCACGAAAGCGCATGCTCAAATAAATTTGTTAGTCTCTAAGGTGCCACAAGTACTCCTTTTCTTTCTGTGTATATAAAATCTCTCCACTGTATTTTCCACTGCATGCATCTGATGAAGTGAGCTGTAGCTCACAAAAGCTTATGCTCAAATAAATTTGTTAGTCTCGAATGTGCCACAAGTCCTCCTTTTCTTTTTGCGGATACAGACTAACACAGCTGCTACTCTGAAACCTATCCCTTAAACGTTACAGACAAATGAAACTGCGATTTTGTCAAAAATGCATAGACGGGTTTGGGAGGTAATGCAACCCACATCTTTTTCCAGGAGACAAAGCTTACCTCTCCATCAGAGTTCACCAGATATGTGCGGATGTCTCCTCCAGTGCCCCAGCTGCTCTGATTCTTCCACACAAGGACAGATGGGGGGCTATGAGTCACACCTGCATCTGCAGCCCAGATCTAAGAAAAAGAAATTCTATAAGCAGATGTTTGTACCCTTTTTATTTTTATATACTTAAAAAACCCTATATTTTTCCTTTTCTCATTACTCTTTTCTTGCCACCCCACTTGCTCCTTCTCATTTCCCAGTGACAGCGAAGTAGATGAAACTAGAGCTATACTATTTGCAGGAAAATGTTTTTTTCCCTACACAACGTTAAGAGGCTGTAAGTTAACAGCAACCACAGTTACAGAGAAGAGAAAATAAATGGAGTTTAATAGTTCAGTTGTCTTTTCTTTTCTACATACAGCAATTAGCCCTCCTGGACTCAGTGCATTTACTTTCTTGATAGAGCCCAGAGACAAAATACAGCTGCATGCACATCCCGTTAACCTTTTAAGAGGCTATAAGTTCCCACTTGCTATGGCAAATATTTAAGCAATAATACAAGGAAAGCAGCTCCTTTCCTATGGAGGGACTTTTAATGCAGGCTGCAGACAAAAGATCTAATTTAGTAATGATCATTTGGAGAACACAAAAATGCATATAAAATACCAGATACCAGGCCTAACCCTACAGTTCTTAATCCATTGAGCTAGTACTGCAGAAATTCAATTCCCATATGGTATTCTTTAGGAGCCTGATCTTACGCCAAACAAGTGAGCTCAATGGGAGCAGGGGCAAGCCCTATATCAAGCCCAGTTAAACACTCACATTCATACCAGGTGCCACAGCAGCAACAAAAGTGTCTCTTCAGTGACTTACTGTAACAGTTTGCCCAGCCCTGAGGACATACTTTGGAGTAAATTTATAAGCAATTTCTTCTGCATCTCCAATTTGTCTCTTCAGTCTCCAGTTACCCAGAGACTGGTCCTAATGGAAAGATATAAAAGTTTATTTAGGAACAGATATCTAGAGCCAGACAGATGGCATCTCTAATGCCTTTGTATTTATTAAAATGCTACAGATACAGAGTCACTAGCTTTTCCCACAGCTTGTTATTGGGTCACATGCACCGTAGATTCTGGGAGTATTTTTTTTTTAATCCAGTGAATAGTTTAGATTGCAAGCTTCTTATTTAAGGCCCAATCCTGCAAAAACACAAGTAACTTCACTCTTCCACTAATCCCATGAGAGTCAATGAGACTCTCAAATGAGTAAACTTACCTAGAGGCATGTTTGCAGGATCAGGCTACTAAATGGTAAGCTTCTTGGAACACTAACTATCTCCCTCTTCTGTGTCTTGTACAGCGCTGACCTCAGTTTTGGTGCTGAAACAATACTATCAGCATTTAAGTACCACTTTGTCACTTCAAAGGAGCAGTGCCCAAGGGAGATTAGCCATCATCTCTCTCCGGGGGAGCAGTATGTTTGGGTTACAAAAGGCCATGTCACATCTGGGTGCTAGCTCACTGCAGCCTTTCTAAAGGTTCTGCTCATACTCACTTTCTCAGAGTTGTTCTTAAGTTGAACATATTTTCCCTCCAGGTCTGTCTCTTCTATGCTGATGCCTCCTGTGGCTGAGGCTTGCTGGGACATTTGGAAACTACTGCTGCTACCGCTGGTGCTACTACTCCCAGTGCCAATTCCACTTGTACCACTGCCTGCAAGTTCCTCTGCTTCAACCCGTTTTCTCTTGCCTCGAGAAGAGCGAAGAACCGAAGTGCTGGTGCTGCTGCTGCTGGAGGTAGCCTTGGAGACTGTCACACGGGAGGACGGGCTTGGAGAGAGCTTCAACCTTAACGCAATCAAACAGACATTTTAACCAGATGAAGAAGGCTGAAGTTAGATTCTCACGACTAGTCCAGGGGATTATTTGAGAGAATTAATCTACACAGTAACATGCCACAGTACACCAATACCCTAGGCTTTTACATGAACTGCTTTAAGGCACGATGACAGAAGCAGGAGAAACACAGAGCCCTGCAACCTTTGGCAGGTAAGTACAAAAGGAGCTGAATGTCAAGCACATGTTTATCCACAGTATTTCTAAACATTTGAATAGGTAGGTGGTTCAGATGAGAGCAGCTGCAACTGCCTCACTTTATGAACATTATATATATAGTGGCCCCAGGTTCCAAGAGGCCAGCGTGGCCCTCAATTAGGCGACGTTTGGGCACTGCTGTTCAAATAGGACAAAACAATGTCAAAGCTGGGAAAAATTCCCACCAGTGCAGAGTGTGAAGCATGTGAAACCTATACCTACCTCTTTTCCTCACCCTCCAGAAGTTTTCGGTAAGCACTGATCTCCATGTCCAGCGCTAATTTGACATCAAGCAGTTCCTGGTATTCTGCAAGCTGCTGCTGCATCTGGTCCCTCATTTCCATCATTTCCCTCTCCTTGGCATCTAGCATCTTCCTGAACTTGTCCTGCTCACCAGCCATCATATCCTCCAGTTCCCGAATGCGATCTTCTGCAACACTAGCCTATGGTCACAGTAAAACAAGAAATCAACTTGGCATGTGTATGGAGACAGAGGAGGATACGTGATTTCCCTATGACAGGTATTGCAAATGGGGAAACAAAACCAGGCAGCTAGACTCAGGAATTCAATTACAGCCATGCATTTCCAGAGGCAGAACAGACATATGGGTCCCCATCTAGCCCAGCCCACAGGGAAAGGGCAGTGTATTATTCACTCTAGCTTTAAATGGTGTAAGCAACAGGGCTTTAGGGAACTCTTGGCAGGGTATGCTCCTGCAACTTAGATATTCACTAGGCCCCTTGTCTACTGAAATCCAGACTAGTTAATCTTTCAGGAAACCCCTTTCATCCCCTGAAATGTAGGAAAAAAGTTGAGTTTTGAGATGGAATATATGCAACAGGGGTTACTGTACCAGGAACAGTTGGTAGGATTGGGGCTATAATGGCAGTTTAATAATTAGTGTAAAATGGGATACAGGTCACATGGTCTGATAAGTAACTTTACAATAATATTTTCAGTGCAAATACTCACAATTACAAGTTTAAAATTCACCTTCTACAAAAATATGTATAAAATGTACTGTTTTCTACAAACATACCTGCTAGTCAACTCATTCTCCAGAGCATTCATGGAGCGTGAACAAAGGGAAAGGAATTAAAGTTTTATTTGACCAACCGTTCACAGAGTTTTAGATGTACGGAAATGTAGTCTCTTCACCTGTTTTTGCAAGCCAGAAAGCTGGTAGCTGAGAGACTCTATCCTCATGCGAGCTTCCTTCAGCTCCTCCCGGGCAGCACTGGCAGCTTTGTCATTTTGGTCAGAGGACAGTTTGGCATTCTCCAACTGGAAGAGAGTTTGGCACAGGATACTCACATTAGACTAGGCTTCACAGGCTTAGGGTTGCATTGGCTAAACCTGGTTGTGCTACTAGAACAAAGTCCATCATCTTTTCCATTTTACACACACACACAATTTTAATATGACTGCAAAACTAGCTAAGAAATACAGTCTGTGTCTAGAAACAACAGTTTAATAGAGAATTTCAAATAAGTCAAATTTAAAATTAACTGCTTTCATTAACTTTCTGCAAAGTTAAATGTCAGCTGTACAACCAGGTTATAGCCATTCCATTAATAAGAAATGGTTACTCACCTATTTTTCTGTAGCTGTCGTTCTTCAAGATGTGTTGCACATCTCCATTCCACTGTAGGTGTGTGCACACCTACTGCACAGCTGTCAGAAATTTTTCCCATGGCAGTCCCTGTTGGGGCAACTTGAGTGCCCTCTGCTGCCTTGCACTACTGCATTCAGGTATACAAGGTGGAACTGCCCTGACCCCCCTCAGTCTCTTCTTACTAGAACAATTCCAATAGAGAGAAGGAGGGAGGGTCGTGGAACAGAAATGTGCAACACATCTTGAAGTTACCAAAAAAACCCAGTAACAGTTTCTACTTCGAGTGACTGCACATGTCCATTCCACTGTAGGTGACTCACAAGCAGTTCGAACTGGAGGTGGTTTCAGTGTTTACTTTAATAGGGATTTGATTACTCATCCAAATCTGGCATTGTCTCTGGATTGCTGAGAGGTAGCAAAGTGAGAGGCAAATGTATGGAATGATGACGAGGTTGCTGCCTTACAAATGTCCAAGATGGGCACGTGAGCCAGAAAAACCGCAAAAGCTGCCTGAGACCTTGCTGAACAGGCTGACGCTCTACTCAGGGGCGTCACATTATCAAACTGATAGCATAACCAAATATAACTGGATATCCAAGAAAAGATTCTTGGAGTGGACACTGGACAGGCTTTCATTCTGTCTGCAATTGTGATGAACAGTGGTATTGAAGACCTAAACGATTTAATCTGATTCAGGTAAAAAGCCAAAGCTCTTCTAACATCTAGAGTGAGAAGCTTTTCCCTGTCTTTATGCATATGAGGCTTTGGAAAGAAGACCAGTCATCAGATTGCTTAATTAAGGTGAAAACTGGAAACCGCTTTAGAAAGAAACTTCGAGTGAGGACAAAGGCAAACTGTTACTACAGAAGACAATATAGGGAGGCTCTGACACACTAGGACTTCCATTTTCCCAACTTTTCTGACCAATGTAACAGCAGCCAAAAAAAGGCACTTTAATTGAAAGGTGTAGCAGTGAACAGATTGCCAGAAACCCAAAGGGGGAACCAGTCAGCTTTGCTGAAATTAGATTCAAGTTCCATGGGTGTGGATATGTCAGGATACTGTATCTGTGGATATAATTTTTTTTTTTTTTGGGTGCAGAATTCCCTCAGGAGTAAATTATATTCCGAAAAAATTGCCATTATTCTAAGTTAGGAAAGCCTCCTGGAGATTCAGCCTCTAGTGTCCCTCTGGGGTGCAGAAGCCATGTTAATTCCCTCTTCTCTCTCTCTCAAGTTCAGGTTAAGACAATCCCTGCTGGTCTCCCTGATAGCTTTGTTTGTGGCTAATATGTAAACTGAGGTTAACCCACATTTCTTTGTCTAAGACAGACCTGTTTATCACTTTTACCTAGGCTAGAATGTCTTTGTTTTAAACATGTTTTAATAACATTATACAAAGGGAATTAATAACTTCACATATAAATTTAACACATGCATTTTATAATATTAATGACCAGTGTGGTGTTAGTTTCAAATGCCTTACAGGGCATATTTTGTTCAAACCTCATTGCAGTAGTGTGTAAAATGTAAATATAGAGGTGCTTAGGGTCAAACACATCTTTTAAGTTGATGACAGCATACCAGTGCCTGGGATCCAGAGAAGGAATAATGGAAGCTAGGGTGACCATCTGGAATTTTATTTTTTTCAGGAACTTGAGTTCTTTCAGATCTAAAATAGGCCTGAGACCTCTTTTTGCTTTTGGGATTAGAAAATAGCAGGAATAAAACCTCTTTCCTGCGAGTAACAGAGGAACTTCCTCTATGGCTCCCATGAGACAAAGAGATTGGACCTCCTATAGTACAACAGCCTCATGACAGAGGTCCCTGAATAAGGGCAAGGAACAGGAGTGGGAGGGGGGGATGGAAACAAACTCAAGGGTATATCCCAATTCCACTATGCTTAAGATCTGTGGCGATGCCAGACCAAGAATTTAGGAAGTGGTGATTAGCAAATGGGGGATGTGAAAAGATGGTACTCTGCGGACCATGGCAGTCTGTCCTTGACCAGTGCATCAAACTGTTTGTTTGGAGGACCCAGCTTGCCTAGATGAACCAGCACTGCAGAGGCAGAAAGAGGTGGAAGACATCTCTTGTAACTTCTGCCCTTCCTGGATACGTCCTTGGTACAGGTCATGAAATTTGGATAGTGGAAGTGCTATGGGCAAAAGGAGTTTCTTTTTGTTGCCAACATATAAATACCCAGAGACTTAAGGGTCGCTTTTGATTCCTTGAGACTACGCAGCCTCTTGTCCGTCTTTCCAGAAAAGAGTGAAGGACCCTCAAAAGGGATCTTGAATGGTCTATTGGCACCACCCTCTATAGTAAGTACCCTTTTGGAGGTCTTGAATAGTCTCGTGAACTTCAGGGGGCACAGGGCAGGGGAGGAGCGGGCAGGAATGACCCAAAATGACTGCAGCCATGAACACCACCACCTATTGATGGCAGAGACCATGTGTCAAGCTGCAGAGTCAGCTGCATCTAGACCAGCCTGCAAAGACGTTCTGGCAACTAATTTCCCCTCATCCACCATCACAGTAAATCCCTGTTTCAGTTTGTCTAGAAGCCTGTCCTTAAATTTTACATTTTACCCTGTGAGATAATATTGTAATGACCGAGCAGAGCCTGCTGGTTTGCAATTCAAAGCTATGAACCTCCAGTGGAATAAAGCTTCCTTCCAAATAAGTCCAATTTCTTTACTTCTTTGCTTTTCAGCATTAACGCCTAGTGACCCTGTCTCCTCTTTTTCATTGGCTACAGAGACTAATAGGGAGCCCAGAGAGGGATGATTTTAGAAATGTTTCGAGCCCTGTGAGGGGATGTAATAACTACTCCGCTCTTTTTGCAGTGGTGGGCAGGGAAGATGGGGTCTGCAACAGAACACTTTCAGGCTCAAGGACAGCCTCCTTAATAGGGAGAGCTACCTTACAGGGTCTCATGGAGGCTAAAATGTCCACAAGCATGTGTGACTTTTCCTGGACCTCCTCTGGCTGGACATTCAGAGGTGCAGCCATCCTCTTCAGCATCTCCCGTTGGCCTTTGTAATCATCAGGTGCAGGAGAAACAGACTCTACTTACCACTGCCTCATTGGTGGATGAAGAGGAGGTGGCCAAGGGCTGATAAGGTGGACCATCCTCTGATTCCTCTAAGGGAAACTCCTGAGAGCAAATCTCTGCATGTACAAGTCTGGTACCGAGGGTGGCTTGATGTGACTCTGGTAAAGACACTTGCAAAGGCAAGTTGTGAGACATGCAGGCATGCCCCAGATTGAGGAGGATCCCCAAGGATTCATGAAAGGCCACTGACATGGCCACCGGACCCCAATTATGACCAGGTCATTGGTTTCGTGTGACTGCGCCTGGTACCATGGTGGATAGGCGCTCCACGGGAACTGCTGTATGTATTCAGGCAGTGACATGTAAGAACCTCGGAATCCAATGACAAGTCCTCATCCTCCCACCAGGAGAGAGCTGACACCATTGGTACTGGGGAGACAGGTTAAAAGCCTGGAGGTTGGAGGTACTGCGAAATCATGGCTGGTTCCTCCCTACTTGCTACTGATCTGAGATGTATTTTAAAGGGTGGGCCCGAAGGTACCATATGAGGCATCAGAGAAACAGTCAACATCGATACTTTAGACACCGGAGCTGGGTGAGAATCCTGAACAGCCAGAAAAACCGGTACTGACAGGATGAATAACTCCCAAGCTGCCGCATAAGCCTTGGGCATAAACGGCACTGTGACAGAATGCTGGGCAACAACAGCTGAGCCAGCACCGGTCACTGCAGCTCCAATTAAACACCCCAGAACAGACCTGGTTAAGAAGAGCTGTGCCTAACTGGTGGGTGGAGGAGAGTTGGAAGGCTAATTAAGCCATTCGGCCAAGGATACAAAAAGGCACAGGAAGGAAGTAGGAAGGGGGAAGGCAGGCAGTGAGACGGAGAGAGAGACTGCTCTTTCCTGCTTACCTCAGGAGCTGAGGGCTCCCTAAGACGTTAGGAGTACGGCTGTATATTGTACAAGTGTGGTGGGAACCGACATTGTAAATAAACTGCACTGGGTGTTTTACTAGCATTAAGGTTTCTCAGTGGTTTGTGGACTTGAGCAGAGGTACGAGTGAGTGGGCCCTGCCACAGGCACCAGGAAATCCTGCAGTACTGATATCTGAAACAAGGTCCATCGAGTCCAGTGGAGGTCCATCAGTACCAGATACTTCAGAGGAAGGAGTAAAAGCCCTGCAGCTGGCAGATAATCCGCTCCCCTCATTAGGTCTTATGGTGATCTCTAGCAGTTCAAAGATTGGTTGTAGCCCTGACGCACAAGATTTATTAACCCTTCCAAAATTTTTGTTAGCATTAACTATAACACTGGATATCTGTTATCCTTACAAATGTCCAATCCCTTTCTGAATCTTGCTAAATTCTTGGTCTCAGTGACATCCTGTGAGTTTCACAGTCTAATTATGTGCTGTGTGAAAAAGTTTTTTTTTTTTTTTTTGTCTATTATGAATTTGTCACCCCTTCTAATTTCATTGAAACTCCCCTTGTTCTTGTGTTTTGACACAGGGAGAACAAAAACTCCTGATACACCACCTCAAACCAGATATTATTTTATATACTTTTATCAAGCCTCCCCCAACCCCAGGTAAACAATACATTTTTTCAGTCTC